GTTTGGTTGTCTAAATGATTAAATATTCCTAAGTGTTTTTGTGTACATATATCCCCCACCCCACCTCACCCCCCCCAAAAAAAACACTAGAGGGAATAAAACAAATACTGTTGAATGATGATGCACGGGGGAGATTGTAATCATTGCAATTAAATGATGAGTGAAAAACCAGTGTTCTCCCAAGTAAACTATTACTCAATTCACAACACACACACATAGACTATTCTGAAAAGATTGGAAACTGGGAAATCTGAATGCTAAGTATAGCTCCATCATCTATAATCTTTTGGATCTCAGTTTGGATCAACTGCTAGTGAGTACAGTATCTGTCTTTCTATGCCTTGCACCAAAAAGGGGCTCAATAATTTTGCTATTTAAAACATAAAATATTTAAAAATTCCAAAAAAAGTAAAATTTAAGATGCCATTAGCTACTTCAATTATCTAGAACCATGTGAAACTGCTAAGATTTGATTATTTTGGGCTATGAAAGGGAGCAATTTCACATGCTTAATCTACTAGTTAACCAGCGGAAGAATCAGAACTAAATTTATGGCTTATATCAGGGTAAGTAAAAAATATTGCTACAGAGAACAAATAAGATGGCAGATCGGGTAGAAGTGCAGTGAGGAGCTCTATCAGTAAAAACACAGAATACTGTACCAAGCAGACTCAGGGGATGGTCTCAGAACTCTGAACCACATATAAAGGAATATTTAGAAGGTTGGAAGGCTTACAGCTAGGGGAATTTGTAGCAGAAGCAAGAAATCTATTGCTTTCTAATTCAAGATGCTCAGCTACTCCTCAACCCACCATCTTGGGCGAGACCAAATGGGGGAAAGATCAGAGCAGCCACAGACGCCTGACAAAATCCACGGAGATAAAGGTTTGGACATTCTTTTTGTGGTATCTGTTCACTGGTCTCTCGCTGTCTATGCACCTACATTCTGGTGACTAGAGGGGGTGCCTGAGTGAGTGGACACCCCAACCCCAGCCCTGGAGAGTTCTACTGCGCATGCGCACAGAGCTCCTCAAAATTTAAAGTGACAGTTTCCACTTAAAACCAAACGGCAATGCAAAATGGCCACAGCCGGCCCAGAACTGTTTATCACTAGGAAAAAGGCCTCAACAGGGATTGTGGAGTAGGACAAGCAGACTTAAAGGAAATAGGTCTAAAATTAAATCCCGAGTTATGTAACAACGACCAAAAGTGGCATCAAAATTTCTGAGGAAGAAGAGTGAAAACGGAAGCCCATCTCCTGATCATATCTACCTGGAGGCAATCAGAAAACATAAAAAATACCAAAATACACACCCATGTAAGTATTAAGGCCACAGATATGCCTGTGTATGAAGGGCATATCCTGAATATGACCAAAAAACAGAAGCAGATGAACATATCTGCACATGTCCAGAAATGAGATAAAGTGACTGAAGCAAATGAGCTGGAAGTAGACCTTCACTCCATACTGCAAGATGGGCAGGCTTTGGAAATGCCTGAGAAGGAATTCAGAAAAATGATTACAAAATGTATCAAAACACTATAGAGTGGAGTTGAGAAAAATAAGGAAGAAGTCAGGAAAGCACCACAGGAACAATCAAATAAAATAGATACAGCACTGGAAACAATTCAAAACCTACAGAAAGAGGTCCAAACGATCAATAACAAAATATCAGAAATAGAGAACACTCTGAAAGGGCAGAGGAGTAGAATAGATAAGATGGAAGGCAGAACCAATGAGCTGAAAGACAAATCTCTCAATACCACTAAGATAAAAGAACAAACACAAAA